GCTAAGTGACCTTGAGAAAGTTTACTTACACTCTCTTTGGACCTCAGTTTTCACATCTGTAATATGGGAATATTAAAAATAGTATCTACTGCTATGGCTTATGAGAATTAACTGATTATGTATATCTCATATCAGTGCCTACTCTCGGAACACCTACTCGTGATCACCAGTATCTGCAGTTTCCTTTTCTTCTTGGGCACCCTGCTAGACCACATTTCCCAGCCGCTTCTGCAGTTAGGTGTGACGTGACTGAGTTCTGGCCCTGGGAACGAGAGGGGAAGTGATCTGCATCCTCCCTTCTTGCTCCTGCTTCCACCCGTCAACTTGTGTTCTAAGAGAGAAATGAAGTTTTGTTCGTCAGAGCCACAAGCCCGCTTAATGCTCAGGTGTATAAGCTCTCAAAGCTAGCTGCTATCTGGCTTAACCTCTCTGCATTGATGTTCTTGTCTATAAAATGGGGTGATAACTGGACTTACCCCATAGGGTTGTGAGGATTAAATGAAGTGTACAGCAGATCAGAACAAAGGGGTTAGGGGCACAGACCCTCCCACAGAATTGAAAATTCATGTGTATAACTTACAGTTGGCTCTCCTAATACAAAGTTCCTCTGTTTCCATGGTTCCTCCAGATCTATATCACCGATTCATATTGGTGGATTCAACCAACCATGTATCGTATAGTACTAAAGTATTTACTATTGGAAACAACCTGTCTATAAGTGGAGTTATGCAGTTTAAACCTGTGCTCCTCAAGAGTCAGTTGTATAGTTTGATTGACTGGCCTAGCTTCCTTTTGATCATAGTTATTTCATCTAAACTCTATATAAACTGGTCATCATTACCTTTTTTCTTGATGCAAGATTTGCCATAATCCAGCCTCTTGAAGGTTTTCAAAGGATAACATAAATTTTCAATATTTTAGGCCTAAAACAAATAATGGGCTTCCCTGATAGCTCAGTTAGTAAAGAATCTGCCTGCCATGCAGGAGGCCCCGGTTTGATTCCTGGGTCGGGAAGATTGCTAGAGAAGGGATAGGCTACACACTCCAGTGTTTTGGGGCTTTCTTTATAGCTCAGCTGGTAAAGAGTCTGCCTGCAATGTGGGAGACCTAGGTTCGATTCCTGGGTTGGGAAGATCCCCTGGAGAAGGGAAAGACTACCCACTCCAATATTGTGGCCTAGAGAATTCCATGGACTGAATGACTTTCACTTTTTCAAAGCAAATAAAAACAACATCATTTAAATTCAGAATATTTCCTAAAACCATTTGCTGATGGGTTTCAAAAGCTAAATATAGAGAATAGGTTGTCTCTCATTTTAAAACTTTAGTCAATTTATATTTTTTAACTAGGAAATAGTTGAAAATACCCAAAAAAGAAAAACCAGATATCTAAACTCCCACAACTCAGTATTGTCAAATCTTAACATTTTGTCGTATTTGAAGTGAAGTGTTAGTCGCTCCATCGTGCTCAACCCTTTGCGACCCCGTGGACTGCAGCCCGCCAGGCTCCTCTGCCTTTGGGATTTTCCAGGAAAGGATACTGGAGTGGGTTGCCATTTCTTTCTCCAGGGAATCTTCCTGACCCAGGGATCGAACCCAGGTCTCCTGCATTGCAGGCAGATTCTTTACCGACTAAGCTATAGGGGAAGCCACATTTAATTTCTGTTTTTTTTTTTTCCCTAAAGAAATAAAACATTATGATGAAACAGAAAAAATAAAAGATATATAATGTATCTGATATACTCAGCATAGTACCTGGCATACACAAAGCAAACAGTACTTGTCAACAAATTGTAAAAACTTTTTATTTTGAAATAATTTTAGATGTACAGAAGTTATAAAGATAGCAGAAACATATCTTAGCTACCCTTCACGCAGCTTCCTCTAATGTTAACTTCTTATATAACCATGGTCCAAGTTCATGGTCTTAACAATACCTTACTTCTTTCATGAGCCTGCTCCATAGAACAGGAGGAGCAGATGCATCATCGCAGACTTCCTGGTTCAAGTGTGGCAGGCAGGAAGGCTTCCTGGTGGAGGTGCCAGTCTGGAGCTCAGCCTCTGTTTCCTTGGGTGCTTTGGAGTATGTTTGGCTTTCCCTGCCTTCTTCCCGCCATATCCCCAGAATCTGAGTCCAACCCTTAGAGCCCCAAGAAGGTAACCTGCTGAAACAAAACGCCTCAGGTCCTGGGTAGGGCTCTGTTCCAGATTCAAGGTGCTCCACCCAGCTAGCAAGGGCCAGCTGCCCATAGTTATAAACCCGGATGTTGATTTAGAGGCTGGTTTCTGGAGCCACTATTTTGGATCCTGCTGACCATGCATGAGCAGGAAATAGCAACAGGGGCTGAGCTGTCAGGCAGAGCAAGGGGATACAAGGGAATTGGGGGTGGGCAGGCTGGGCTAAGGGGTGAGGATTAGCTTTGTCTGCTTTGGAGAATTACAGGCCTCACTAACCCAAGGGAAAAGCCGAGTTCTCCATCCTGCCTGGCTGGGCACAGACTTCTGCTGGGACATGTGTTTACCTTTTGGAAGAGGCCCAGAGAGCACCTGAGGTAGCCAGCTGGGACTAGGAACAAGTGCTGCAGGGAGGAGAATGGAGAGCTGCTGGGCAGCACCTGTCCTTCATGGCCAGAACCCAGAGATCCTGGATCCAGTAGGCAACATCCAGCCTCATTTTAGCTTCTCAGAGCCTAAGTTTGTTCATCTGTAAAATGGGGATATTAAATTTCTATGACCCAGAGAGGGCTGTATATGTTCGTACAGTTTATAAATTGCAGGAGTGAGTGGGTCCTAAAACACATCCTGTGCTCAGCTCCCTGAGTTGAGCACTGTGACTTGGAACTAGGTCTACTGGTTTGGTCAGAGGTGACCCTTTTTTTGATTTGCAACGAAGGAAAAGGACTTGCCCTCTGGAAATAGAGCAGATGGTAGAGAAGGAAATAGACTCCTTAAGCCCCCAGGAGAGGGTAGGGCTGTCCCCAGAAAGCCTTGGCAGGGGAGCAAAGAGAGAGGTCAGAGGTGGCCCAAGGAGACAAGATGAGCTGGGAAGAGGGTGTCAGGGTGACCAAATGGTGAGATGCCGTGGCAGGTGGAGCTGGGAGGAGAGGAGGTCCCCTGTGGAGGCAGGCCCAGTCCTGGGGCCAGGTGGGGATCCACTCCCCCCGGTGGACCCTGTAGAGAGGGCACAGTAACACAGAACTCTCCCTGAAGGTAGGGTTACAGGAGGGAGGGTGGGAGTCTTGGGGTCCTTGAGCCCAGAGAAAGCCTGGTGAGAGACTACCAGCTGGAAAGGATGACAGAGCACCAGGCACTTATAACTCAGATGACAGGTGATACACAAGGGGTGGATGGATATTTTGGTAGCTTGAGGAAGAACACTTCACTGAGGCTTGCAGGGTCCAGGGGGATCCCCAGAAGTGACATCTAAACTGAGACATCTCAGAGACCCCAGTGAAAATGTGTGAGGATGTGCATTCAGGCGCTGTAACCTGAAGCATGTATAAAGCACCAAGAGGTAAGAGAGTGGAACATTTCTGGAAAGTGCAGGTGGATTTGGCATTTCTTAATTACACAGCATGTATAGGAAGAGAAATGTCTGGAGACATGAGAAGTTCTCAGAAAATGAATCTTTATACTTTGTCAAGCTGTCTGTCTTTGGGGGGCTGTAAGTGTTAGAGTGACATGATCAGATTTTCATTTTAGTAAGATGTCTGGGGCCTGTGTAGAGATTGGGCTAGAGGCAGAGAGACCATCAGGGGCTGAGCAGGAAGCCAGGTGAGGTGGCTTGGATTTGGGTAGTCTGCAAAGATGAAGCTAAATGAGCAGATCCGCGCTCACTTTAGGAGGTGGAATTGGTAGGCCAACTTTAAGAAAGGCAGGAGTCCAGGGTGACACCCACCACGGGCTTGGGTGATAATGCCTGTCAGAACCCTTCACTAAAATGGGAACTAGGAAGAGGAATTGGTCCGGGTGGGAGGTGATGAAAAGTTCAGTTTGATAACTGAAAGGCAGTATTCAAATGAAGGTGGCCAGTAGTATACTGAGGTTTTTGAGCTCAGAAAAGAAAATTGGGCCACCATAGGGGTCTGAGAGTCATCAGCCTAGAGATGTGAACTGAGGCTGTGGGAGCAAGAGGACCTCCCCCCTCCCCCAAGGAGTGAGAACACGGAGAGAAGACACAGAGGCCAGAGCTCTCAAGAGGCCTTGACATTCAGCAAGCGTCCGCTGGAGGAGGCAAGGGCTACATAGGAACCGGCAGAGAGGTGAGAGGAAGGCCAGCCCATCTAATCCGCACAAATACCTCACGTACAGGTGAGGAACTTGGGGGCTTTTTGCACTGTTTTATTTTATTAGGCCACAAGAAGTAAGAAACTCAAAGCCAATGTTGCCCTATCATATAACCATCCTTCACCAAGAATTTGGGCGTGTCTCCTACCCTCTTGTTTAATGCCTCTATTAGGTTTCTGTGATTTCGGTCAGTGCTTTTGAATGCAGAATGAAGATGAAAAGACTGACTGGATTCAGGAGATACCAGCATGTTTGTGCACAGCATGTTTTGACAGTCAGTTTTTGATACAGGGCAGGTATGTGAAGGATGGTGATGCCTCCAACTTTGGTCTTTATTCAGACAGTGGACTCAGACTCTGTCTCTAGACTGCCATCATAGATTGTCTAGCCTTCTGGAACCTCATGACCATCCTAGGAGTGAGCCACTGCCCCACAAACCACCAGAAGATGAACTCACCAGAAGATGAAGTCTTTATTATGAGGAACCTTTTATTATAGAGACAGACTGAACTCTCTTTTGCATAAAGAATCTTTGGATTGGGTCAGGGAAAATCCACCTGCTAAAGGTCACCACCAGCTCTCCCTGCCTCTGCCTCAGCTAAGCCCCCACTTGCTATTTACATCTCAAAGTCACCGGAAACAAGGCCCCCAGGTCCAGGCTGGTTAGGTGGGCCATGCCGGCCAGAGGGTCAGGATTCCTGGCTGCCCACCAGGTCAGAGCCGACCCGTCTCCCGCCCCAGTCGGTTGTCCAGGACCTGGAGCTGCCGGAGGAAGCCTGAGTTGGGGCAGATGTCGCGGTGGGCCTGCACAGTCTGGATGGCCTCCACCAGTGTCATGTTCTCGCAGATCATGAGGAAGGCCAGGACAACTGTGGCAGAGCGGCTCACCCCCATGGCACAGTGTACCAGCACACGGCCTGTGGGGAGACCCAGCCTAGCATCAGGTACCCGTCCTCACACCGCCCACCCCAGAGGGAATCGGAGATGCTTCTGCCCACCTGTCCCAGCATCCTGGGATACTGACACTGTCCCCAGTGTCATGTGGCGCAGCTGAGGCCCGAGAGGAAAGGGACTCGCTCAAGGTCACATAAGCATGCTAGTGGCAGGGCTAAGGTTAGCAGCTGGGAGGCCCTTCTGGTCCACGTGCTTCCTTTGCAACTTTGGCATGGTGAGGGTCAGCACTCCTGGAGTCCCCTGGGTTTGAAGGTTACGGGGGTGTCCACCTACCTCCCTGTCCTCAGTCCTGCCCTCTCCCCTGCCCCTGCCGCTCTACACCAAGGCCTCGTCTTAGAGGAACTCACTCGGGAGCCCTTGCTAGGTCTTGGACCTTCCGCCCAACACCGGGCCTCTTACTGAGGGGTATGGTTACCCTGACGACCACACTGGACCTTAGTTATATCTATGATCGTTAGTTTCAAGGGTGAGGTTCCCCCGTGAAGGGACCGCTCACTAAATGGGGTGGGAGGGTGGCTAAAGGACCCCACCTTCCATGTACTGGAAAAGTGGATAACCCCAGATCCCGCCTGCACCCCTCTGCATCCCCATTCCTTCCCCAGCAGCTGACCTTGGGGAACACTGAGGGCACTTCGGATGTATCGAGCAACAGGCAGAAAGTAGACACTGAGGTCAAAGAAGGGGGTGTCGTCAGCCTCGATGCCATAGTACTCCAAGGGCATTCCGCGGTAGAACTTGGCACCTGTGTCCACCTGAAACTGGCCTGCGGCGACATTCACAACATGGGTGATGCCCAGCTGGGTCAGCTTGTTCTTGTCCCGGGCTGCGTACCTGGAGGGGCACGGGAGGAGGTGGGGTAGAGCTCACTGAGTCTGCCCCGGCTGCGCTGGAATTCACCCCTTGGCCTCCTCTGCTGAGCTCTCCCAAGGGTAGAGCCTGGAATCAGTGAACTGGTCTGGGTGAAGGGGCTCCATTTCACTCGGGCCAACTTTTCTGGAGGGCAATTCAGCCACATGCATTAGAAGCCTCAAAAACGTACACTTGCCCCAGCCTCCTAGGAACTTACAAGAATTCCAAATGTGCTCACAGACAAATGTAAACTGTATCCAGTGATATTTAAGATAGAGAAAAAGTGGGAGGTGGGGAGACTCACTAAATAGCCTATAAGAGGAGATTGACTGTTGATACAGCTGAATGAAATCCTGCACCACCACTAACATGTGGCGGATAGATGCAGGTGAACAAGAAAAGGTGTTGGTACTATGCTGAGAACCTATGAAAAGTACAGGATAACAAAACAGAATGTCATTTAAAAGTGCTTTTAAAGTATGTTGTGCATGCAGTTCCATTTAAAAACTTTCCTATATAAAGCAGATTACAAAATGAGATTATAAAGTGATTACCATTTTTGTTAAAAAAAAGAACTGTGAAAAAGCATGTATGTATGTATGTGTGTATGCATTTTTTTTTTAAAGTCAACAAGGATTTTACGACTGGTTATCTGTGCGTGTAGGGGAGATACATATTTGGCCATATGTTAATAAGATATTGATCTGTATTTTCTAAATATTAAGGAAAACTTATAACAGCCACATATATTCATCCATATGTTCTAAATTTTAAGACAACTTTTAGGGAAAATGACTCACATTGCACACTCTCTCTATATATATATATCCTAGAGAAACGTGTGGTTCCCAGGGTACATGTACTAGAATGCTGTTAGAATTTCTGTTTATAATAGCCCCAAAGTGGAAACAATTCAAATGGAATGGATAAACTGTGATGTTTACATGCAAATGAATAATATATAGCAATGAATTGTATGCTACATATATTGCAGGCATCTCCCAATTTTGAGCAAGTGATGCCAGGTACAAAATACACAACATGACTCTATTCCTATCACTTTAAAGGATAGGCAAAACTAACACAAGTGGTGAAACTAAAGAAAAGCAAGGAAATAACTATTTCAGTACTCAGTGGTTATCTATAGGGGAAAAGGTTATACGGAGAAGGGTTCAGTGGAGGCTTCCAGGGCACAAGTAATGTCTTATTTCTTGACCTGGGGGGTGAAACAGACTTTGTGCACTTTCTTGGATATGTTCTAGTTCCACAAAGTAGTAACAGTGTAAAAGGAAATAAATATGTGAAAAGAGATGCTCAGAGGCAAAGAGGGTGCCAACTCTGCTCCTTACAGGCTCCGGGAGAGGGTCCCCTTCTGCTACCCCAACCCCCCACTGTGGATCTTACTTACGCATCTCCCAGGAAGAGGTTGGGCCAGACTTCGTTGATGTGGTTCAACATGGCAGCTCGACGGACCCACAGTAAGCGCTGCAGAGAGGCCAGCGTGGGTGGCTGGTAGGGGGACACCCGGACTGACCCATGGATCTTGGGCCTCCGGAGGTCCTGCTTCTGCAATGAGTCCATCCTGGAACAGAGTGGACACTGCAGTGGAAGTGGCAAGCTCCCCACGGGTGGGTCCAGCTGACATGGAGGCCCAGCCATGGGGCAGTGCCCAGGTGCCACTGGGATGCTTCAGAAGGGCCTCAGTTATTTCAGATGAAGTTATTACCTAGCTCGACTGGGGCTGAGGCCTAGACCCTTTCCACAGGAAACCAGGGAGTCAACCCCTTGTCACCACTGTGGAGCCAGGAAGCCCTCTCCCCTACCCTCTCCAGAGGCCTGTGGTGTTGGAAACTTTGTCCAAGGGGTCCTCAAAGCTCCCTGTTTGTAGCAACTAGTCCAGTGCAGACCCCACCCCTTATGTCTCTGGTTACTTGGGAGTTTCTAAGGATGAGAACTCCAGATGGCTGTGGCTCACAGAAGGCACTTAGACCCCCACACCCAGGCAGCTCATCTCAAGCCCCATTTCTCTGCTGCTTCTAGGGCTGGTCCTCAGGCTCCCATCCCTTCCCACTTTCAGGTGCTTGAAGGTCAGAGCCCATCTCTGGAGTGAGGAGCCTGGACTATGAACTGACCCTTGTTGGCACTTCCCTGCTGAATGCGCTGATGCCTCTTAGGCGCTGGGGCCTCATTCATGGAAGGTCCCTATTTTACACAGGAGGCAGCTGACGGTCAGAGAGAATAATCTGTTAAGTGATGCTCGAAGCTACATGGTCACTGAGGAGCGAGGCTAGGGTTTCAGTCCCATTCTGTGCGCCTTCAGTTCCATCCCCCAGCCTTCGCGTTACCCACTTTTGAGGTCTCCAGAGTAGTTGCTAACCCCTCCTTCCCTACAGGGGAGCCTGCCGTAGCTGTTCCGTGTCTGCCTGTAGGCCCTGGGATTTCCCTCCTTACCCCTGTGACTCAGGCCAGTGCTGCAGGTCAGGCCTCACCGCGGTGGGGTGGCTCGTGTCAGGAGTCAGCTGGCTGAGGGAGTCCGAGACCCTGCAGGGCTGGGGTGTCAGTGGCAGCAGAACCTGGGTCTGGTGCTGGGCTGGGAAGGAGTGCCTCTCTCGGCTAACCGGCCCTGGCCCCTTCAACCAGTAACTAGGGAAGGTACAAACTGGGAAGAACTTCTTTGCTCTGTGGTAGGCAGTGCCAGGACCAGGAAGAGAAATGGGCACCCAGGAGGCCACTGGCTTGGCCAGGCTCATCCAGCGGGCAGTGGGAGGGCAGGGTGGAAGCGAAGACCCGGCTTTCCCTTTCATCCCCCACTGTGACCTCTCAGGGCAGACTGAGTGGCCTGCCACCTACCTATGGCATGGTCTGGGGCCAGGAGTGGGGGAGTGGATGCAGGGGCAGGACCCAGCACATAAGCAGAACGGGACCGGGGCAGGTTCCGCCTGGAACACAAATGCTGTGAAGCGGCTAGAATTCCAGGTCCTCCCCTTGGAACCGGTGGGGGTGGGGCCTGAGAGCAGACCCAGGCCACTGTGGACTGAGGTGCTGTCCTTCCACACCTCCGGGCTCCTCTCTGCTTGGTGTCTCTTTGGGATTAAGGGCTCTTGGTCCTGGAACTCCCCAGGGAGATGGGAGGCTACGTGAAGTGGTGGGAAAAGAACTTTAGAAAGAGCGCAGAGAGCTTAACCACAGCTCATTCTGAGGTCAAGAGCAAGGCTTAGCTCCTGTCTAGGCCATAATTTCTTTTCCTCATCTTAAAGATACTGGCCTTGGCTGCTTTGAGTTTCTGATCAAAGAAGGTCTGATCTGAGAGAGGAGTGGCTGGATTTGCAGAAAGTACGGGGTAGAGCGAAGTGTATATTGTTGGAGTGGGGAGATGTCAACAGCCACAGGGGTCTGGAGCTACCAGCTGGGACTGCAGGAGTCCCAGGTGGGGTGAGATGGGGCTTTGGGAAGCCTTGCGGGCGCAGCTGCAGGCCTCTGAGCTTGGTGTGGGGTAAGGCCGCCACCCAGTGTCCAGTGGGTGTCTTGCAGCTCAGCCGTGCGGGACCAGCAAACTCCCGCTGAGACAGAACTTGTCCCTGCTCCTCCTGGAGGCTCCTGGGAGATGGAGGAGCCAGCAGAGGGGTCGAGGATGGGAGCTGCTAGGCCACAGCCCAGCCTCAGCCTCCTCAGGGCCTAGGCCCAGGTCTGGAGAAGGGGGCCTTTTCCTTGAACTTAGGGGTACGTGTTGTTAGGCCTCACCTTGGACTTCACACCCGATGCTCACGGATATACCCTCTACGTGTGTGCTCTATCCTGCGAGGGTCCAGCCCCCACCCAGCGACTCATCCTTAGAGCTCTGGGCACACCCACAGAAGGGAAGTCGGTGGCTGCAGCAGCCCCCGTTTTCTGCCATCCCCATATCTAGACTGAGAGTCCTGCCTGACCCCTCCTCCTGCATCTTCTCGGCCACAGCAGGGTGAAAGCTGGGCCTGATGTCCAGACAGGATCGGGCGCGTTCAGGGTGACGTGGCTGTAGACATGGGCCCAACGTCCAGTAGGGATCGGCTGTGCCTGGCTCTTCACCCCACTCCCTCTGGTGCCGCTTCTGCCTCCTTCCTCTGCCTCCCCCTAAGCGGAGCAGCTGCCTCTGTGGGCAGTGCTCTTCCTGCTCTTGAGCTGCTGCTGTTTACAAGTTCAGACGCCTGTTTTCTGCCTTTGTGTCTCTCGTCCTCTCTACGTTGCTGTTGCCGGTGCCTCTGTCTCCACCCCACTCACAGGAGCTCATGCTCCCCCACAGCCTCCCAGCACACCACCCCACATGCTGCAGCCTCAGACCAAGGCTCAGGCCTGCACAGGACAGGGGAGCAGCCGTCTGCCGTCCACCCCCTCCTGGTCTTGCCTGCTGCTCACTCTCTCCTCCTCCTCCAGGCAGGCCACATGGGGCCACAGGAGAGGTGAGGCCAGAGAGCTCAGGGCAGGACAAGTGAAGAGTCTGGCGAAGGAAGCCTTGGGGAGGGTGGCAGGCGGGCAGCCAGGGGTGAGCTGCCTGTGACCCTGTACTCTGCGTGCTGCCCTTGCAGGAGGGCAGAGCTGGGCCAGGTTCTCAGGTCTGGAGCTGGGGTCTGTGTGGTCTTCTCTGAGCCAGTTTTCTTAGTGGAGCTGCTGTGAGCATGCCATGAGACAAGGAAGTGTTTAGGGCACCTCCCCCAGTGCCTGCCTCCTGGTAGATGTCCAGTATATGGTGCATCTTACTCGTATTATCATCACTCTTACCCTCTGAAGCTTCAGTCATATCCCATGGGGCAGTGAGGCTTGGTCTCTTATCTCTTTGTGTTCCTTAATTTTTCTTTCTCTGTCCAGTAATGGTTATTATATTTACCACTAACTCAGGATACGCTTTGTATCAGACAGAGTTAAAGGCTTACATTTTTCTCACTGAATTCTCACAGCACCCTTATGAGGCCGATTAAATTTACCATCGCCATTTTTACAGATGAGGAAACCAAGGCTCAGAAAGATTAAGCTCTATGCCCAAGGTCACACAGCCAATAAGCACAGGAGCCAGGATTCAAGCCCAGGTTGATCTGATTACGAGGCTTCATCTGTGCCTCTATCTCCGGCCCAGTCTCTCCGCTAATGCGGTGCAGCCGCCTCCCCCACCCCGGCACACACAGGCACAGGTGTCCTGGCCCTCTTTACCCAGCATGCTCTGCAGCCCCCAGAGTGGGGGCACTCACCCACCTGTGGGGGTATTTGGCCCAGGCTGTGGTCTTCTCTGGCAGGCACTTTTTGCTCCCAGCTTCCAGACGCCTGTCTCTGCACAGTTGATGCTGTTTCTATTTTTTGATTGGAGTTTAATTATAAAGCATGATGCGCTGCTCCCCTCCTCTGGCCTCCCCCTGCCACTCCCAACTCACCCACGGGTCCCCGGCACGGACAGTGCCAAGCCCAGCCAGGCACCTGGCCCCGCTGGGCGTAGAGGCAGTCCAGCAAGGGGGTCTGCCTGTGGCGTGTGGGGACGTGGATGTGGGTTGTGGGGCAGGAAGAAGGGAGACAGAATAAGCCATTTGGGAAGGCCTGTTGGTCTTCATGGGGAGCACGTGGAGTATGGGCAGAAAGTTAAAGCGAGAAGGCGTCTCCATGGGGGAGAGTGGGGAAGAGAACAACCAAATCACACCCCAGCTGGCAGCACTGCGGACATCAGAACCCAGGCCCAAGGGCCCCTAGCTGGGAGCCAAAGGTTATAGGACTGGCCCAGGATTAAGATCCAGAAGATCAGGCTGAAGGAAATGTGGGTAGAAAGACAGAAGAGATATAAGTGGAGTTCAGAGCAGGTCTTTGGAACAGCCCCGGCCTACAGTCAGAAACCATGCGTCTGGAAGCCACCCTGTTCTCTGTGAAGCTCCTCTCTCCCCCAGAAGACATTCCTGGAGCAGACCTCACCATCCCTTTAAAGTCCCTTCCAAAGCTAACGGCTCAGTTAAGAGACCTTGGATTTGGGTCTATTAAGAATACTCCCCACCCTTCAGAGACCCTCCTCATATACCCATGCTTCAGTACTCTTCTCCACTCACACCCCCAGATGACCGCCACACAGGTGATTAATTCCCTGCAGCCACGCCTCCTCTGGGTCTCTGAAGGCCGAGCTCCTGCAAGCTGGGCTCAGCCCTTACTGCGGCTCCCTGAGCTCTGATGGAGGCAGCTGTGGCCACAGGCCACACTTAGAACTAAGGGACACTTAGAACTGCCCCTCCCACTCCCATGTCCCCCCGCTCCTCGGGGAACTTAAAACCCCGGGAGAGGAGTCCTCGGGCCTGGCTGAGAGGGAAGCCCCTTCCCACCTGTGAGAACTGGAGGCCGTGGCCGAGAGGGAGTGCAGGCAGCAGGAGGAAGTGGATGGACTTGCAGGCTCTAGGGCGGGCCCCGCACTGGGCTCTTACCATCTTCTGGGTATCCACCTGGGCCACAACCTCCAGCAGCACCAGCAGGGCCAGGGCAAAGTGGCAGAGCCCCATAGCAGGCAGTAAGGCCCAGCTCTGGGGGAGAAATGAACTCCATGTTACAGGCAGGTAAACTGAGGCTCAGATTGGCCAGGACTCACCAGGGCAGAGACAAGAGCTGCCAGCTAAACCTGCTTCTGCCTTGAGCCTCTGTGTAAGATCAAGTGGGTTATGGGTGCCAAGAGAGATAAAGAGGCAAGTTTGGGGCCCAAGGCTCATGAAGAGAGATGATCTCTCCCCAAAGCCCCCTCACCTCTGAGTCCTCAGCCTTAGGACTGCTGTGTACAGTCACATAGGTTGCTCACTGCACAACTCTTGGGGCCCCAGCTTCACAGACTATTTTGTGGATGTAGCCCCAGGAATTGTGCAAGGCCATAGCCCAACTGACTCCCCCAAAGCAGCTGCCTGAAAAGAAAGATGCAGAGGTCTGAAGTCAGAGGATTTAAGGCCCCAGGCTGAGGAAGTGGGGTGATTGGGCATGATCAGAGATGTGCTGTTGTCCCAGTTCCCAAAACCTGCCTAGAGGAATGAGCAAGATGGAAAGATGCTCTTCCCATCCCCCTCTCGGCTCCCACACCTGCAGAACTCCCCACAACAGTTTCCCACCCAGCTTCGCCTTAGGCCTAATCCCAACCCCAGCTATAATGCTTATTTTCCTTCATGGCATTCACCCTCAAACTAACCGAGACCTCCTCCTTGCCCTAATTCCCAACCCCAAGATGCTCATCCTCCTAACAGCACATGGGAAAGGGTTCATATTGCTCACGTGCTCCCCCTTGGCCAGGCTGGTTATGCATTCAGAGACAAAAGCAGCTCTTATGGGTGATGGCCAGGGGGAGATTCGTTCATGCCCCAGGGAGGCTCTGGCAGGAGGAGAAAGCTGCTACTCTCCTAACTCCCAGAAGAGGCCAAGAGAGTGTCCCAACTGCCAGCTGGCAGCCCTTCTGAGCCAGTGGGTGGCAGGGCACAGCCAAAGTCAGGATTGAGGAGAGATGAAGGAAGGAACAGTATGGGTAGCAGGAGCTGGAGGTGGGATAGGGGAAGTGGAGAGCATCTCTGGAGGCTTAACTTTCCCTCAGATGGCCCTCAGTGGGGATGTGAATATAAGGAAGATGAGTGTTGGAGCCAGACAGGGACAGCCCCAACATGGGCATGGTGGGAGGACAGGGGGCATTCTGCAGCTGCCTCACAATCTGGGGCCCCCACAGCCTCTCCACCCCCAGGAAGGGACACCCCTGCCTCCTCTTAGTTGAGCAGGAAGAAAACACAGAGCTAATGCCAAAGAAATTACAGCAGCACCTTGGCAACCATTTGTGGGCTGGGAGCCTGAGACGCACCATTGCTGCTGGGGGAGCCAAGCTTCTTCTACTGGGCAGCTGGGGACACTGGGGCCTCTAGCAGGAGGGAGGTGGCTTGGGCAGAGGAGATACTGGGGATCTGTCCCTTTTATGCAGCTTAAGGACTGAGGGATTTTGCTCCAGAGCACTGAACATGGAACAGGAGGAGGCAGAAGGTAAATGGATAGACTTCAGGAAGGCTTTATGTCCTATGGGGTCCCCAGAATCAGAGAGGGAGGGAGGTTACGGAGGGTCCTTCTGTAGATCTATGAGATCACATTGGGTGGGGTATGAAGGTAGAGAGTGGGGTGCTGAGTCCAAGGCAAAGAACTGAAGGACGTGGTGACAGGAGAACTTTGTATCAAGCAGGGCTTGTGTGAGGAGGTTGTGGCCAGTGGCGGGAGCACCTGTTCCCTTTCTCCACTGTGGGAATGGATGCGCAGGGCTGACATGATAATTAACTAAACTTGGAGCAATAGCTGCAGCCACACATTTCACCAAGGACTGGGATCCAGACCTGAGCCGAGGGTGTGCAGAGGTGTGGGAAGGGCCAGACAGCTCAGGTACAGGACTGACTGTGCTCCTCTCTTGGTAGGGTTCAGGTGAACCCCACAGGCTTTTGGCCAAGGAGGTAGGGCAGGTCAGCACCAGGACCAGTTTGGAAGGCCTCACCTCTTCCATTTTATGCTTCCCACCCCTTTCTTTCCCAGCCTTTCCATCTGCTCTGGCTCTTAAGAATCTGTAGGTGGGCTGGGAGTGGGGGGAGGGACTGACGATCAAGTTGCCTCAGCCAGGCCTAGGATTGGTGAGGGCAGCCCAGTAGCTTGGGGAATGGGCCAGGCCCCTTTCCACCCTCTCTTTCAGCCCTGACACCCAACCTCTGAACTGCACTCATTCATGTCCCCTGCCAGGCCTCACCCCCAACCCCTTACTCTAGCTGTACCCTTGCCCTCTGTCCAGCCCTCTCCTGACCTTTCACTTCTCACTGCACCCAGCTGTCGCCCCTCACGCCCTGCCCAGCCCTCACCTGGCCCCTCAGCTCCGGCCTGCACCCCGCAGCTGCTGGTCCAGCCGGCAGAGCTGGTGGAGGAAACCTCTGTTGGGGAAGACCCATCGGCGCTCCCTCACGGTGATCACCGCCTGGCGCAGGGAGAGCTGCTGGCGCAGCATGAGGTAGGCCAGGACCAGTGTGGCGGAGCGGCTCACCCCGACCACGCAGTGCACCAGGACCTTGGCTGAGGAAGACATCTGCTGAAAGACCCTTTCCCACCAGCCAGCCCACCCAGTGGCTGAGGTGGGGACCCAGGTTCCTTCCCTTGCTCTGCTTTGGATGTATTCTGTGACCCTCGGCAAATCACTCAACATGTATGGGCCTCCATTTCCCAATCTGTCAAGTGGGTATATCAGCACCTCTTATGCCTACCCTTGGGATGGGGTACACACACCCCAGCACGGCTTCTGGGACCCTCTGTGGGCTGACCCTGCAGCCTCATCGCAGGCTGTCTCACCCCAGCTCTCAGCTCTGGAAACACTGGGTAACTTGCAGTCCCTTGAAGCTGTCATGGTCCCTGGCCTCCAGCCTTCCCACATGCTCTTTCAACTACTTGTAAAGTTTTTCCCTTCTCTCAGTCTGACTAACATCTACTACTCATTTGTCAGGATTCCACTGAGACACGGCTTCCTGACTACTCATGGTATCACTTGAATCACAAAGCAGCTCATCCTTTATACATGGGGCCCAATGAATCCTGTTGTAGAGGGAATTCCCCCCAAATTCCTGATCCTCTGAATCCAGGACCCCGTCCTGTGCTCCCATGGCTCTTCACTTCTACCTACTCATCTGAGTAGCACTCAGATGTAATACTTCACATTTTGAATGTCTTTCCACCAGGGGACCCTGCTTTGCTTAAAGCAACTATCTAGTGTCCCCGTATCTAGCTTCATGCCTGGCACAGAGAAGATAATAAATAGTTGATGAATGAATGGGTGAAGAAAAATGAAGGTCAAGATACTTTGTATTGAAAAGTGCTATGAGCCACAGTCTTGTCTTTCCCATGACACAGATGAGAAACTGAGGTTCAGAGAGGGACACTGGCTCATCCGGGGTCAGGTAGCAAGGGGCATAGCTCTCACCCAGGATGAACACGAAGCAGCTTCCCCAGGCTCCTTTGTTGCTCCCTAGGTATTAGAAGATTTTTCTTTTTTTTTTCCATTTGAAAGTACTTTGGGGCAGAAACCGGACATCTAGATACCAGATGGCAATCTCCCAAGGCTGAGTTATGTAGAGAAAGAACTGTTTTGTTGTTTGGGAGACCTGGCTTCCAGCCCCAGGGCTGCTTGTAACTCGGAGCATGACCTTGTACGTCAGGCCTCCCTTTCCCTGTCTGTGGAGCAATGCTACTGGATAAAGTGCTGGGACACTGAGCAGAGAATTTTAAAAACATGATGACTTTTTAAAAGCTAGGGGGTGGGAGGGCACTGATGTGAAAGGGGAAACGGGACATCCCCCTGCGACTGAGCTGGGTAGGATAGGGGTTCAGATGCAAAGTCCTACCCCCAGGCGTGCTGAGGGCACGGTGGATGAAGTCAGCTGCCGAGGAGAAGTAGGCACTGATGTCGAACTCAGGAAGGTCGTGGGCTGGCACCCCCAGGTAGCTCACACTGCTGCCATAGAAGTCAGGGCTGCCCTGACAGTAGAGGCCCCCGTGGGCGGCATTCAGCACGTGGGTGATGCCCAGCTTCCACAGCTCAAAGCGGTTATTTGCTGTGGCCCTAGGGAGGGGAGGAAGGGGAGCCATGAGGTCTGGAAGGAGGCGTTGTCTGGCCCCTGCTTCAGAGCGATGAGCCCATCAGGGTCCAGAAGGAGGCGGAGGAGCTTGTGGGGCTCACAGCTCACAGCCCCCCAGGGGCTTTCTGGTAGGGGGGCTGGTAGTACAGGGATGTAGCTGGCCTCTCTTTGCTTCCTGAGGCAATCCGCCCCAGCCATGGCCAGGACAGGAAAGAAAGGATTGCTTCAGCCCTAGGACCCAGTTGCACCTCCCTTCTTGCCCCATGCCCTGCCCACACATCCGGCTCTTCCTGGCCACTACCTCATACCTGCTTCTAATCTGCAAATATTTAAAGGTGACACCTTCCTTGATTCACCTCCAGTCAGCCTTCCATACCCAGTCTGTGTCCAGAGGAAGAAGGCTGGAACCGGAAAGGGGAGCTCTCTGTCCACCCCATCTCTCACCCCCACATCACCACGATTCCCCGTCCTTTGCACCCCACCCCTCCCCCCACAAGACCCACCAGTTGTTCGGAATGTGCCAGAAGACTGGGAACCTCTGGGAGTTCCCTTCTTTCAGGCAGGCAAAGTCCCTTCTCCCCCTGGTGGCTGCACCTGATCACTGCACTGGTGCTAGCACGAAGGGGTCCTGGAGAAAGTCCCTGGCTTGGGAAACTCAGAGGTGAACGAGTTGCCCTTTCTCTCACCCCAATCCCCCATCTCTGGTAAAGATCCCAAGAACTGTCTCTCCTTGTCCTCACCCCCACGTCCCTTCAGCCAACTACCACTCACGCATCTCCTATGTAAAGGTTGGGCCAAACTTCATCCACGTGGCTGGAAGAAACCTTCCCTGCCCTCAGGAGCTCCTCCAGTTCCAGGACGCTGGGGCAAGGCGTGGCTTCGGCATCTCCCCTCAGCTGTGAGAGCGAGGCCTCCGCCATGGGCCAGCCCACCCACCCCTCTGTCTCTGTGGTCACTCCTCTCTGCCTCTCCAGTGTCATCCCTCCTTCTGAGAGACTGGCAGGGACAGGTGAGACAGCAGCAAGTGACTCAGCAAATTACAGGGGCCTCTAGAGAAAACAGGACGTTTTCCTCCCCAAGTCACCCCCTAGCCCGAAACTGCCTGACCACAGGGAATCAGATATATCTCTGCAAGTCACTTTACCTCTCAGCCTGTTTCTTCATCTCTCAAGTAAGGAGAATTTTAAGGATTAACTGAAACAAAAGATACTCTAACACACAGTAGATGTTAATAGATTTAGAGTCCTGTATGAGGCTATTTGGTTCTGAGGACTGAGTTAAGGTAGAGATCCAGGGTGCAGAGGAGGTGGTTGGCTCCAAGGATGCATGATGGGAAAAGTTCTTCAGGTTTGGGTGGGTCACATACTAAGCGGAAACTGTATGACTGTTGGATGAGCTTCTGTATTATGGGACTCGGGGGAAGTTCCCCGAGTTACAGAGTCTGAGAAATGTGGAGAGGCCTGGAGGACCTCATCTAAAGGGTGCCCACAGGATTTGTGGGGGAAAGTTTGAACAATTGTTCTGTTATGAAGATGACCGATTTCTCAAAAGAGAAGGCTAAAATGGGCCATGTGTGCCAGAGAGGCAGAAGGGAGAGATGAATGTTTCCCTCTACCAGAGCCAAAGAAAGAATGTCATCAAAAATATTTTTGGGTGGGAGGGAGATTCCTCTGCCTATAAGGGATTTTGTCCTCACAGCAAAAACAGAGAAAGTCTGTATTTGTCCTTCTGCCAGAGCTCCTTGTAGGCTGAAGTGAGATGTCTTGCCCACTCTCAGATGCCTTCATGAAGGCTTTGTGGGGGGCACGAGCTGTAGTGGGGAGGCTCCCAGTTGCACCTGGCTTTGAGTCTGGTTTGAGGGTAAAGGCCATACCAGGGCATTCCATGGAAGCAGGTTGCACTCATGTCCACCCAGAATCTATCCCCACTCCCATCAGAGGCACTGAAGCCTGCCTTGCACCGCCCGAGGAAGCAAGGTGAAGAGGGGGCTGGAGCCCAGGTCCAAGGCCAGTTTTGGCCTTGGTTTGTGCCACTGCTAGCCTGAGGTGGGGGCTTCCCTCAGGGTGGGGTAGTACAGTAAAGCGAGAAGAGCATAGGTTCTGAAGTTAGACTTCAGTAGGAATACTGGCTTCGGCACATATTAACTGCCTAACCTGAGGCAAGGTTTCTTGGCCCTTCTCTGTCGTGATACCCTGCAGAGGTGGAACAAGGATTAAGTGATACATTTATATGGCATTTGGCATAGAGACAGTCAGAGGGTAAAGGGGCAATAAACAGTAATAATGATGACTGGAGGCTGGCTCTTGGAAAGGAGCTGGCTCCCTGCAAAGGAATTAAGGAAAAGCCTCTTTTGCCCCCAGTTTACTAATCCCATAGGCCCCGCCCCGCCCCGCCCCTCCTGTACCAGCGCCTCGTCGCTCATCTCTGCAGCTTTGGACCTTTTGGTCTATTTGCATGCTCTCTCGGGTTTCCTTGCACCCGTTTCAGGTCGCCGCCCTACCCTCACGCCCATCTTGAACCCCGAGTCCCTTCCGGTTTTGGCCCCACCCCTACCCTAGGGCTCCGCCTCCCGCCGACGGGCCCCCGCCTCGCGAAGCAGTTCCGGTTCGGATTCGAGCAGCTGCCGGCACGGATAAGACCGCGGCCGGAGCGGGGCCGCAGCGATGCCTGCGCGCAGCCGCCACCGCCCCAGCCTCCACTCCGGCTTGCTTACCCGGGCTCCGCCCCCACCCCTTAAGGCGTCTCTCTCCCGGGAGGCCCGGAGGGCACCGGACTCCGATAGCTGCTCGGACGCTGACTCGGAGGCGGGTCCGGGGAGCCCGATTCGGAACAAGGAGGTGAGCAGCAGCTGAGGTGGAGGAGAGGGGAGTTCGGGGTGGGCGCGTGCAGCAAGGGGGAGTGGGGGAGTCGGGGATGGAGGCGGGTGGGGGTGCCATGGACAGAATTCGGAGGGGCCCTGGGAGACGGTTGGGGGACCGTGGAGAGTCCCCTTTAGAACGGAATCTGAGGGAAATGGAGGTTGTTGAGCCAAGGGCCTGAGGCGGGTGACGATGGCCCCAGACTAAGGGGTAAGTAGAGGCCGAGGGGCGAGCGAGAGGGTGTGGAGGCTGAGGGAGATGTGGCCTTGAAGAGGCAGGGGCATGGAGGTTTTGGAAAGCCGGGTGAAAGTGAGGGGAAAGGACCGAAGGGTCCCACGGGAATGTAGGACCGGAGGAAGGGGGATGCTCCGCGATTTGGCAGTGGGAAGAGGGATCGGAGGAGCCGATGCAGAGTCGATGTTCCCACTTGGTGAGAGAGAAGGAACTGGGGTGGGACTGACGAGATTGCTGACCTAAGGGGTTGGTACTCATTAGGGGAAGGATTAGGTTTGAAGAGGAAGGGGCTCTCAGGTGGCCAGTCGTCTGGTCTTGAAGGCCAGAAGGAGAGAAATGGGGTCAAGACAGAAAAGGAACCCTTGGGGACTGATACAGGGCTTTGGCGTTTTCACAGGTGTCTTTCATAGCGTGGGAGATCTCTAGGGTGATATACTTGGATTATGGGGCTTTCTTGTTTGTGGACAGTGAGTCCTTATGAGAATCTGGGGTGAGAAGGGTGTTCTTTAACACTGATTTGCCCAAAGGACTAGGAGAAGTAGTGGAAAGGAAGTGATGTTTGGAAAAGATAGTGAAAGGAGTGATTCTGAGTATAAAGATAAATCCTTTGAATTTCTTATAACAGTGATAGCGTGTTTCTCTTTTTTGGTTTGTATTTTATTTAAATTTAAATTTTATCTTAAATACCTGACAAGTTTAGGCAATCTTTAAAAAAAAAAAGATTTAATACTTTATTAAAAAAAAAACTAAAGTCGAAACGAGTTTGGATACTTAGATTTTGCAGATACTCAGTACTGACTGGTTTCACTCTTGATAGCTTGAGTTGACATATACTGGTCACGGGGTAAAAATATGGTCACTGCAAGTGTCTGGGTTAAAAGTGTCTCGTTTTATTTACCTAAAAAAGTAGATAAAACTGTGAAATCACCGGAGACCAGGAGACTACCAGACCTTCCTCTCTCCCATGACTCCAGAATTGGAGTTATCTCTTGAAAACTGGAAGGGTACCCTTGACAGATTTGCAGGACCAATACTTTGCAGGTATTGTATAAATAATATTTTTAGTAGAGTTATCTAGAATAAGAATAGAGGATGCTTGTAGCTGTCAGTTAACAGAACTGGGATAGGTGGGTACACAGATGCCTTTTAGTGTATGGAAGACATAGTACCAAAACCATGATTGTGCCAGAAAAATAATGATTACCATATCTATATTTAGTTGAAATAGGTTTTCTTTTGTAATTGTTAAATAGCATGGTTTGGTGAAGTGTTTGACTAGCCACATCTCATTTTGTTTTACAACTTTTTATACAGTTATAGGTTTACAAAGTTGTTGGCATTTCAAAACAAAGTTTTAATAAAGTATTTCTAGTCTAAATGGGTATCTTAACAGTTTAATCTTTTTTTTTATGGCTATTTTTTATTTATTTGTACTTAAACAACAAACCAGCCAAACTGGTACTACTATGATGTGGCAAAATACAAAACATTGTTCTCCAAAAATAGAGTGATGAACAAATTAGGGGCTGTAGAAAAGAGATAAAAGGGGTGGAGGAAATCAGTAAAGCGCCCTTCATCTTAAGGACTGAGATTCTTAACAAGTAAAGCCTTGCCATCCCAGGAAATATGAATAATCCTCATCATACGTCTTTGTACTTTTGCTCCCTGTGCTTGAAGTTAGATTCTAGATCCTAAAAGTATCGAAAATATTATATATTATATCCAAAATGCTATAATCGAGTTATCTATAGCCAGACACCTTTTGTCATGTTGTACAATGCTTCTGAAACCTCTTATTGGACTCATTACCCTTCCCTCAAATTGACACAGAAGATATAGTGAAAAGCAGCTTCCTAAGGGGAAGCGGTACAGAATTCTAAAACGAGAAAAATTCTAGAGAATATACAGTCTCTGCTCAGGTTAAGATTGCTTATAATAGCCGTCACAAATAGCCGTTACAAATCTTCAGGCTGTATGTTGAAAGGGTAGTTTGGGAATAAATCCGTGATTTGCTGCTGGGAACTAAAATACTTGACAGTTTGCTGTGTTACGTTATAATTTTCCCCAGCAGTTCCCAGGGTGGCCTCCAGATCACAGACAGGAGAATTCTGCTGGAGCTGGATTCCAGGCTGCAGGAATTCCTCCGTGTAGTTGTTGAACTGATTGTTCCAAGGCTGGTTATTCCAGGCTTGGGGACACCAGGCCTGACTGTTCCAGGGGTGGTTGCTCCAAGACTGACTCTTCCAGCTCTGGTTGGTCCACGTGGGGTTATTCCAGGTCTGGTTACCCCACATGGGCAGGTTTCCAGGAGATTTCACCCAAACACCGCTGGTGGTAGGAATAGAAGCCCAGGTATTCTGCTGTTGCTGGGCCCTGAGGCATGCTATTGCTATTCCTTGGCTAGTTGTTTTTCTGCCATTTCTTACATTTCATTCTCTGGTTCTGGAACCAGGTCTTCACCTGCTTGTAGCTGAGGTTCAGGATGTTGGAAAGTTCTTGTGTTTGCTGGAGGCTGAGGTATTTCTGCCTCTGAAATCTCTCATTGAGCACACACAACTGGGTCTGTGAGAACACAGTTTTGATCTTCCGTTTCTTGACCGGGACGTTCTCTTCCTTCTCTGTGCTCTCCTCCGCAGACGGAGGCAATGGTTTCACTCTGGGGCTTGTGGAAGAATCAGGACTGTCCTGAATAAGCAGATCCATGGAGGAAGGAAGAGGAGAGACAGTGTCCGTGTCGAGGGTGTCAGCAGATGACATTTGCAAGGATGCGTAACTTCCCTCAGTCATGGGTGCAGATTCCCTAGAGTTGGATTCTTCGGGGCCAAGCAGGCTTTGGGGACAAGCTGGATCCATACTCATTTTGTTGAGTTGAAGAAGATGGGGAAAAGCCTAAGAGCTAGATGCTAGATGCTAGGAAAACTCCAGGCTGAAGAATCTAGGTAGAAGAACTTAGGGAAAGGTGAAGATCTCCAGGTGTGAAAGTATTTATTAAAAAAAAAAAAAAAAGACGGAATGAAAGGTGTCACCTGTGAGATAAGAGCCAACCAGTCCTTAACAGTTTAATCTTAATGAGATGATAATTTACTTCTTGCAGCTAGTTACTAAATTAGTTTATGTGTATACACTATATGTCATATCTTCACATGCTCAGTGGACTGATAATTATTTCTTCAAAGGAGAGATGAATTCTTAGCCTTGCTTTTAGCTATTGTTAAAAAATTAGCTCCTTTTTCTTTAATACAATTGAGAAAGTATATATACTGTTGTTTATTTATGTTTGTTTACCCTCACTAAACTGAGATTCTCTAGAGATCTTGTCTTCATACGTAGCTCTAAATAAAAGTCTTGGCATGTAAAAATTTGCTGCACTGAACTGAAATATAACTCTATTAAGATTACATCTTAATGCTAATGCAGAATTAAAGAAAGGAACTTTTGGATGAAGTTGTACAGTTAATATATTAGTGTGCCTAATAGTTATTTTGTCTTTGATTAGCCTTGACAGTTTTCACAGCCACTTAGTTGTAAATAAAATCATTTTTATGGTAGAGCAGTTTCTCTTAGGCAAGACAGTATGTATTACTCCCAAATAAGCCATTATGACTGCAATGGCAGAACATGCAGATATATTTAGATAATCATTTTTTATTTCAGTAGCATCTTGGCCATTCTGCGAAGACTCTTCACACTGTGCAGTTCCTCGTAAGCATTTTTATTTTGTTAATCACTATATCCTCAGTGCTTTTTCAAACCTTTGCCATAGATAATTTAGAGACATTTTCATGACTTTTCTTAGAATTGAAATTTGAATACTGTTTTGGGGAAACTGTTGAATCACACATGTTCTAATGAATATTATTATTTTGTCTTGTAACAGCGACCATATTAACTAGTTACTCTTTCAAAATTCTTACCTCATAGGCCTGATACAATACTATGGTGTTACTAGTAGGATGTATTTAGCATGGCCATTGTTCATGTCAGTGATTCTTATTTATGTGTTTGTGCTTCTCTTGGCTTTGAGAAATCAGGAGGTTAACTTAGGCACCCTTTGAGAACATTTCAGTGTTTCTATGCTGCCTTTTTCATTGTCTGGTAATTTACCATCTGCATACGTGGATATAGATTTGTGACGTACCTGTACCCTCTCCTCCCATACACATAGCACCATCATCAGTGGATCTTAATCTCCCTGACTTCAGGCTTCTATATTTGATATGTTTTGTTACTTCACTAAATTCTGCACCCTATTAGTAATAAAATCACCTCACTGCAGAATGTAACCTAATATAAGTGTATCTTGGCTTTTGCTTAGGATAGTAGGAACTAGGAAAACTTGGTCATAGTAGTTTCAGCATAGAGTTTCACCATTAAAAAGTGCTTTATGATATGTACCTTAGAAGAATGTTGTGGAGGCAGAAACCTATTTTTATATTTGTCTTGAATATTATGTGTTTTTTATAGCTTTTGAATTGTGGCTGAGACAAGAGAGGTGGTAGTATGTCTATTATCTTGACCCTCTTTCTGTTCTCTTAAAGTTCTTGATAGGTAAGAAATTCTGGTAGGGAGTGAGAACCGTGAATTTAGGTTCTCCCTGTAAGTTAAACTGTGTTTACTGAGTTTCTGGAGATGCCTGCAAGCTGGTTTTAGTGTGGAACTTGGAGACTAAATTAAATTGATGTCAGTTTCATCAATGCAAATTGGTATGAAAGTCAAAGATTCCCAGAATCATACATTAAATTTTG